CATGCCTTCAGCAACAAATCAAATGGCTTTCAGCAACAAGTCAAAGGACTTCTGCAACGAATGAACTGCGGCGTCTTCTCTTCGCCAACCATCCAAATGAGCTCTCATGCTTTCGGCAACCGACAAAATGCAGTATCGTGCTTTCGGCAGTCAATCAAATACGGCGGTTGCTGGTTTCGTGCACGTTCACTCGAAATACAGGTTTGCCGAAGTCAATATCAGTATGAGCTGTTATAAGTATCGTTCACTTGCGGTGGCTGTATTTCCAAGCACTGCACGCTATGCGCTGGTGTTCGTTCATCCCCCGTTTTTAATATGAGCAGGCTTAAAGTCACAAAAACAGCATCGTTTGTGTGATCTTCCAAAATTTCCACGATTCGAACATGGTTTAATGAGAAAAAGTGGCAACATTGCTTTTTCGCGTATACAGTGGCTAGTTGCGTTTCAGTGATCGCCGATCGAGATTTCATTTATTATTTTACATTATTTGGTTAAAGTAAAGTTACGCAAATTTAACATCGATGTGATGCTGTATCAATTTGTGATCAACTCTGTTTGTTTTGTTTCCTAATTAAGTGAGGAAATTTTAATTGACAGCACCGACAAATGAATGTATACACAAACAAATGTTCGGTTATGGTTAAAACAATTCAAGTTTTTGTATTGAATTTTCGGTTTAAAATTTATTTTTTCCTTTTCAGTAGGGTTTTTTGCACATTATATTCTGCGTGAGAATTGATCATAATAGATACGAATCTGAATAAGCGACTGGAATACGGCTGTTTATCAAAACCATACGATTTCGAACTCGCGTAAATGTACATTTGCTAAATGCGATAGCATGAACGCTCGTCGAAAACATATGTTCGAAAGTGCGAAATGTTGCATTTTAAATGCAGCAAAAACGCTGCATAACTTTGAACAATTAAAAGGTACACGAACGCAACTAATTGCACGCATACTACGTGTATGCGACAGAATTCGCGAATTCTTCATTTCATGAACTCAAAAATGGTCCCGTTTATGCATAGTTCGCGAATTCATGAAATAAATGGATTTGAAAAAGTGGCAACGCACTGGCGGGAAACTATACAGTAGGGTTGTGATTTTTTTGCCTCCTTTTGAATTTGCAAAAGCCATTGGTGCCAGCAAAGAACGTCAATCTATAAGAGGAGACAACACGTTATAATTGTAGCGAGTGTGAACATCAGGAGCGTGCCTTCTCTTTTCATCCAACCATAAAACGTATCTGGGTAAAAGAGAAAGCACGCTCCTGATGTTCTCACTCGTTACAATTATAACGTGTTGTCTCTTCTTATAGATTTACGTTCTTTGGTGCCAGGCAATGAACCTCATTTTATTAAAATTGGTTTTAATACATTTTCAGTTTATTCTATTTGAATTCATTTTAAATGTGAACAATTCCACATAACTTTTCCAATGTTTAAAATTGTGGTTATGCCACTCATGGTTATTATTCTGAAAACATCATAACCCTAGTAAACAGTTGTTTGTGAAACGTGGCGTTGCCGGACTTGCACTTCACGATTTCATGAAACGATGCCGAATTCATGGTTATATTTCGTGTATAACTGAGTTCATGAAATGGTGTTTATGCAGCCAATTTTAATCTAAATTCATGAAATGAATTCGTGAATTAGCCTACGCATAAACGTAGTAGCAGTTTGCCAACCAACATTTTTGCATACGCCGACACAAGGCATAACAAGGTAGAAGTGATTTCGACATTTCTCTCTTTTGAACTGCGACTGAAATGTCAACTCTTAACCCTATACTATTCAAATTTTTTTTTTATACAAATTTTCAATTGTGAGCTATGCGACTGATTTTAAATACATAATAAAATGAAAAGGAATTGCGAGCGGTGCGTTGTGTTTGTCAAGAGCCTGGACAACAAACTTGTGCGTTATTTTAAACCTTCGAATTGTCAAGTGAAGCGACAACGGTGGGCAAATTGCTGCGATGTTTCATTAGGAGACTCTTCATGTGTGGTCGTGACTTTATTTGTTGCCTATCGCAGCCGAGTATTTCTAAGTGGACGCGTTTGGTCCCAGGTGCAGGATTTATCATACCGAATATGAAAAGCAAATCTCCCTTTCATATACATACATGGGTAGGCCAAATTTCAAATAGTGGTCTGATAAAACCTAAACCAGTATTCCTTGTTGATATAAAGAAACTGAAAGTAATTTTTAATAAATTTAATGGAAAGGAAATTTCGAACAGCAAAAATTTAATAGCTAAATTATTGAAGTTAAGTTTTGATGTAAATTTGGAAGGATCAAACTTTTTTTAATGTCTAATATACTTTAGAATTAAGTATTTGAATAAAAAAATAAATATTGTCAAAACGGTTTTATAAATGAGTGTGTTTCATTTAGTGTGTAATTTTGGGTAAGTATGCATTTCCACATTTACATTAAACCGAAAATTCAATAAATAAAATGAAGCTGATTCTAATGAGATTTAAATATTTTCATATTTTTATTTATTTATTTATTTATTTATTTGTTACAGTCTTGCGACTTAAAAGTACAGATAGGTATTTTTAATATATAACAAAGTTTACAAAAACTTTCATTTCAAAGATGTTGAGTTCTATCAAATATCGTAAATGCATAACAAAGGGTTAATTTCGTTGTTTACATTTTTTGACATTACAGTCAGGTATGAGAGAGCTCGACTGAATTGTCACTTCTACCTTGTTGAATATGCCTTGCGCCGACCTACGCTTGTATTCAAAGTCCTCCTCGATGCCTTAGGCAAAGAACATAGTGAGGCGACAAAGAGAGCGACAAGACATTTTCCGATAATAGCGAAAAAGAGACAAGAAGTTTCACATTTCACATTCCCACGACAGCCGGTTCTACGTACCGGAATGACTCGGGTTTTACCCAACCAAAGGCTGTTGTTTCAGCGATCTAACCCTCGCTTCGAACCGGCAGGATGTATTCGGAGAGAGGGGCTTCCGCATGACAACGGTATACAACATTTCTTGTGCATGGGTCCCGACGGAATATGCATGCTGATGCTGAAAAATTTGGGTCCTGCGGGAGTAGCGTACCTAACCGAGGTCCTCAATTTGTCTATGGCCACTCTCATCATCCCAGACATCTGGAAGGTGGGGAGAGTGGTCCCACTGCTCAAACCGGGGAAACCTGCCAACATAGGAGATTCTTATAGGCCGATAACACTCCTTTCCCCGCTAGCGAATACACTCGAGGCCTTGCTGCTCCCGTATTTCACAAACTACTTCCGCAGCGAAGCATCAGCATGGTCGTGGCCTCAACCGTAAACGTCCCTGTGAGAGAACGATTCTAGTAGCGTTGGACCTGTCAAAGGTTTTTGACACAGTCAGCCATTCCACGCTACTAGAAGATACAGAGGCTTCCTCTCTCCCACAGAGGCTCAATCGGTGGTCGGCAAATTATCTGAGTGGTCGACACTCGTCGGTAATGTCTAGAGACAAATCTAGCAAACTTAGAAAAATAAAACTGGGGTATCCACAGGGTGGTGTCCTTTCCCCGCTACTGTTTAACTTTTACATTTCAAAGCTCCCTCAACTACCAGAGGGAGTCTCGACTGGGCGACTGGGAATGGAATTGATGACCTGTGTTCGAAAGTAAACGGGTATCTCCGAACTTTCTTGCTTCTTCACTGCAAAGTGTCTAGCCCTCTCCCCTACGAAATCCTCTGCGACCCTGTTCACAACCTGGACGAAGGAGATCAGGCTACCTCTGGAAATTCACGTCGATTACATACCAATTCCGACGGTGAATAATCCCAAAATACTCGGAGTAACATTTGACAGCCTGCTCTCCTTCTCTGCGCACGCAACCGCTATTGTCAATAAAGTACAGAGCCGCAACTAGGCCCTCAAGTCGCTAGCCGGCAGTACTTAGGGCAAAGACAAAGAAACGTTGCTGGCAACATACAAGGTAATAGGCCGGCCGGTTTTAAACTACGCAGCACCAGTGTGGTCGCCGGGGACTAGTAGGACGCAGTGGATGAAGCTACAGACAGTACAAAACACAGCACTTAGCGACCGAATGCCTCCTGATGTCACCAGAACCCCACCTCCACGATGAGGCGAAAATGCTCCCAATCAGGGAGCACAACACGATGCTCTGCAAGCAGTTTCTGGTTGGGAGCCACAGATGTGGCCACCCAAATAGACAGCTGCTTGCAGAGGAGCCCTCGCCAAGGCACGTTAAGAGGCATCTATATGAACTGACGGACGAAGTCCAGAGGTTTATCAATCAGCCTCTGGACCCGTCAGCTTACAGACAGGCCCTGAACGGCATTCACAGGGACGCAGTCTCGAGTTATGTAGACTCTAGACCTGTGAATGCCTTTCTAGGCACACAAACACCGGACATTGACGCGACGGAGCTCCATCTTCCTCGGGAGACCAGAACAACAATAGCCCAACTTCGCTCTGGCTACTGCAGCAGGCTAAACTCCTACCTGAATAGGCTAAATGCGGGTGTGCCGAATGAATGTCGGGCACGCGGAGAGACCCCTCACGACTGGAACATCTCTTCGCATGTCCGGAAAACCCCACAACCCTAACGGCGTCGCCCCTGTGGACCGACCCCATAGAGGCTGCACGCTTCTTGGGGCTGCCGTTAGTGGAACTCGACGACAACGACTGAGATATCAACCGATCTGGGCGGGGTTGTTGTAGCCGCTACAACAACAACAACAACAAGTTTAAAAACATAGTGAAGCAACCATCAGCTCAGAAAGCAACGAAAACAAATTTTTTGTTTTCTTCGCTATGCTATTTGTCGCTTTCTTCGCTTTTCGCTTCATTATGTACTGGCATATTGAAAAAATAAAGGTTTGTTTTTGTCGCTATTATCCGAAAATGTCTGGTCGTTCTCTTTGTGGCGTTACTATGTTCTTTGCCTTAGGAAATTGTTAACATCGATGGCAAACATCCAATTTTGATTAGATATTATCGATGTTTAAAAAATCTATGTATCGTTTGCATACCCATCGTTTTGTAAATTCGTTTGAGGAATTATATAAATACAGAAGACACCAATATAATAATAGTAATAAATATAATAATTATAATGATGATGAACAAATTTTTTCACACCAGGAGCTTGCCATTGTTAAAAGGATTGCAAGTGAGTCAGTTCGAAGCTGCTGTACAAAGATTAGCATCTTTTACAGCAAAAAACATCATACAAGAAACTTCCGATGAAGCCGGTACTTTACTCGCACGTTTTGCGAAACATGTCGCTTTGGAATTGCAAAAAGATACGCCAATTATTGCCACTGCGATAAGGTATGCTGATTATTTCCCTATAACTGACACACGATATTTGCAAAAGGAACTGACACGAATATCTCCAGACCAACTGCCAGCTCTTATTGTATTCGCTTTTACATATCGGCCTAGCGCTGATCCTAAAAAATATGCCGCTTTATTAAATGAGCTAGATGCCACGGCAGTACAGCTACTTCCTAATATGGACCTTAATACAATTCTGAGGACGTTGTACGCGTTCCTTTACCTCATGCCCAATTGGATAATGCGAATTGACTTCTACAAAGCGGCCATGCAAAGAGTAACATCACACGAAATATTAGTTGCTTTGACAAAAGAAAAATTTGTTCAAATCTGCTTCTATTTGGGCTTGGAAAAGAACCGGAAAGAAAATGCTGGATTGTTTCAAGAACTGCTCAGTAGATATTTAGAGTTATATCTTCCTAAATTAAGTACACTAGATCTAGTTATGGTTGGTAATGCCGCATTCAAGACATCCACTTATGTAGATAGCAAAGCATATAACCAACGTTTGATAGATGAAGTCCTAAAGCTTTCATTCAATGAATCTAGCAACGATGTACTTCTAGTAACCTTAATTAAAGCAATGCGTCTGCAGCGTGTACATTCCGAGGAAGTTTGTAAGCACTTGACAGCTTTATGCAATGAAATTTTTCTGGAGAGGTTTCAAATCCGTGGTTGCGTTCATATATTTGCCTATCTTGCGGACAATCTTTGGGATGAACGGAATGCTCTTGAATGTTTGGTAAAACATTGTTTACCTCGTCTGCGACGAGAAAATGCGCGATGCAAAGATATTGCAACATTTCTATGGTGCTGTGCGCAACTTAACTGCAATTTGTCAGAAAAAGACCTAGAACAAATCGAAATCTTGCTCATAAACAAAGTTAATCAGAATGAATTCCGAAACTTTGTGGACCAGTTGGTCGATAGCTGTCTCTCCTTATGGATATTGGGTAACAGGTCACGCGTGCTTTTAGAGACTGTTATAGATCTAAAAATGAGTTCACTATGTAACAACAAAAATAAACAATGTGAACAACCTAAAGTCGAAAGCCGATTCCAGGTGCTGACTTCAGCTATTGCTATAGAAGAACCGACTTGGCGTTTTAAAAATATAAAAGTACCAACTAAACCGAAAGTGGATACAATCGCACCGTCATACCTCCTTAAAGACCGAAATAATCTGGTAGATTTAGCTAGGAAAATCGAAGAGTATTCAACTGTAGCCTCGGCTAAATTGGTTTGTCCTGTTAATGGCATAAATATACCAAGTGTACTAGTGAGCTTCAATGAGCCAACTAATTCAAATATGTTTCTTGAACTCCTGTCTGAAGATCTAGAACTGCACTTCAGCAAAACACCAAATGGATTAATGAGACTTAAAATCCGGTTGTTAAAAGTCTTGCGATATAGGGTTACTACAGTAAGTAATTCTTAATTTGTCTCTTTAAAATATTCGCATACTTACACACAAAGTAAAAATTTTCTTTTGTTTTTGTAGTTGCCTGAAAAGCAGTATGAAAAGGACGGCGATTTGGGATACTTAGTATGCAATTCCGGCGGCGATACTACTCCCAAACTTCAATCGTTGAAAGTTTAACGTTTGTGATTCTGTTTTATGGTGGTTTCGTTTTTACCAAAAAATGTCCTTCCACGGTGCAAAATGTGTTTGATGTTACACTCAACCCTGTAAAATGGCATGTTTTTGCCTTCTTGTTCTTGTCCAGCTCACGGATTTCATAATATTATCGTTTTAAGCAACCATCTGATTTTCAGGGCAACCATCTCCCCTGACAAAGCTTCGAAGGGCAGAGAATGTGTCTTTTTTTCTTTTTTGTCTTACAAGAGTGTGACATTTCAAGAAACGAACACAAAATTTTCTGCCCATTTGCCTGCATTTAGAATCGAACACGAAAAGAGAAAGGGCAATCAAAAAGGGACATTTTTTGGTAGAAACGAAAACACCATTAATTTTTGAATAGCCCAGTAAAATTAGATAAATTTGGTTCGAAAAACAAAAAAAAAATGTAACTGCGCTTTTTTGATGCAGTTTATTTCTATTTGACACATAGATCGTGGATTAACAGTCTTGCCCCTTAATTTTATTTGGCAACACTCGCCCATCTTGGATTATATTTATTTCGGGGTTTTTGCGATTTGCAAGCATATTTTGCGGTTTTCGTAACAAAATGTTTAAACACAAATTTGTAGAGAATTTAATTTCTCATAGATATTTGTTATATAGAGGGTAAAAAAAAATTGTATATTAAATAATTGGCAAAAACTGCGAAAACATTTTACATTGGCCTTTATTATGAGTTGCATTAGATTTTAACAGAATTTTGCTTTCGATGATACATCAAGTGTTAGAAAATTGTGAAAAATATATGATTTTGCATTTGTTTTCTTACTTTTTGGCGGCTAGACACTAATTTTAAACAATTTTTTATTAATTTCCTGCAGTTCTAACGTGAATACTAAACACACGCTCGAAAGGTTGGTTTTACTTCTGAAAGAAAATCCCAATACCCATGATGCAATAATACAAGGCGTTATCGGTTGGCAACTTCTCGCTCTAATTTCGCCATATTGACTGCCTTAGGTTAAACAGTGTTACTTCTTTAACAATTCTTTGCCTAATAATATAGTTGAATTTTTTTTTTTTCTCAGTATACACATTTTGTTTTCTCTAAAAGGTATTATATCTTAGTTTACTTCATTTCATTGCGAATATACTATAAAAAAGCAAAATTTGTTTAGAAGAAAATATGAAATTTTATATTTTTCCCCCGAATGGGGATTCATTTCTTCCCGTTTTTCTTCTTATTCTACTGAGCTAAGGCGGTGTCAAATCGAGCTGTCACAACTGATACCACCTTGTATTATTGCATCATGCTCAATACCATCGTATATACTTACAAGTATGGAATTCTATGCCCCTTTCTGTCTATTCTCTTTCTATCAACGGATGTGCCTGCCAAACAGCGAACGTGCATCGATGATGCGAACGGGATTGAAATGAAAGAAATGGGAGATGGATGACATGAGAATGAAAGTATTAATTAATTATTAAGAAAGAAAATTTTCTTTAAATTTTTAATGTTGATTGTTTAAAGTTTCTTTTTATTCTGGAAAAATATTTTACATTTTCTCGGCAGCACCCTTCGAAACCTGCTTGTTCTCTTAAAAATTAGAATTCAAAACAATTAACAAAGTATTTAACATCCGTTACATTACCCCCTTCCAAAAAAATTAATGTAAAAACTCATATCTTGAAATTAACAACTTTCTTTTTGTTTTCCGGAAAAATATAAGCCGGTTTTAGTCTATCGACTGAAATAGCTACATTATTATTTTTTTTCCAACCAGGAACGTCTTACGAAAGCGTTTTATCACCTTAATAAGGAGGTTCCAAACATTTTTTTATTCTATCGATTCGAACGAAAACATGTGTGCACGTATATAAGTCAGTTGGAATGTATGGCGTGATTGTGACCGGTTTCCTTTCTTGCGAACGAATGTTCTCAAAATGGTCACGTAGTTTTGTAATAAAATCTAATGGATCAGTATTCGTGTTGCTGCGTGTAGTTGGAAAAATTGCACCTGGAACCTTAATATTTTCACCATAAAACATTTTAGCCGGTGTTCCGCGAATTTCTTCCTTAATAGTGGCCCGGAGGCCTAATAAAATTAATGGTAATTCGTCTGTCCAATTAACTGCATTGTTAGAACATTTTATTGAAGTCTTTAGTGTTCTATGGAATCGTTCTACCATCCCATTTGCTTGAGGATGGTAGGATGATGTCCGTGTTCTTATAGCGCCTAAAACTTGCAAAGTTCTCGAAAGAGAATGGACTCAAATTGAGTACCTGGATCGGTGGTAATTTGAGTTGGTACACAGAACATAGAAACATATTCTCTAACCAAACATTGAGCAATAGTTTTAGCTTCCATATCTTCTAAAGGATATGCTTCAGGCCATCTAGAGAAGCGATCAACAATTGAAATGTATCTGTATCCCTTTGATGGTGGTAGAGGTCCGACCAAATCCATATGTATATGATTGAACCGACCTGGAGGTATTGGAAACATGTCTAACTGAGATTTTATGTGTCTTGTAACTTTACATTTTTGGCATTCATTTATATGCTTGTTCATTTGAGGCCAAAAATATAAACTAGTAATTTTCTTCCGAGTTGATCTAATACCGGGGTGGGAAATATTATGAATCAAGTGAAATATTCTTTTACGAACTGTAGAAGGAACATAAGTTCGGTACATGTTGGTAGATAAATCACACCAAAGAGACTTATTACAGCAAAATTCCATTTGTCTCAATTGGTAGGAGGAATTTTCTGATTGACTAGCTCTTAAGTGTTTGAGTTGTTCATCGAGTACTTGCTCTTCTGCCAAGATTTCAAAGTAAGGAATATCCAATTGAATAGAATCTATTCCTGATCTTGACAGCGTATCAGACACAATATTATCAGTACCTTTCATGTATCAAATATCTGCAGTGAACTGCGAAATTAAATCTAACTGGCGGGCTTGTCTGGGGGAACGCCCTGTTTTCGTGAGAAGAGCTGTTGTGAGTGGTTTGTGATCCGTGAGTACAAAGAAATCCCGACCTTCAACAAAATATTGAAAATGTCTAATAGCTTCATGGATAGCTAAGAGTTCTTTGCCGAAAGCGGAATATTTCGTTTGGGCTGGGTTTAATTTTTTGCTGAAAAATGACAAAGGTTGCCATTGATTGCAGACATATTAGTTGCGTTCCAGATGCTTCACGATATTCACGAAATTCACGATTTGCAGGAACAGCTGTTTTCCTCATTAATAAACCTTATGGGAGGTGGTCACCTGGAACGACTTCCTGTAAAAACCTGCAAATCGTGAAGCATCTGGAACGCAACTATTGTTGCAGGACACCGCCTAATGCTGTGTTATAGGCTGTTTTTGCTTACGCGTAAAAGCACATTTAGCGCATTTAGCTCTAAATGCTACTCTAAATGTACATTTATCCATACAAAATTCGTCACCTAAATGCAACTAAATGCAACTACATTTTTGCATTAAGAATCTAAATGCTAAAAGCAACCCTGTGATCTTCCAAAATTTCCACGATTCGAACATGGTTTAAAGAGAAAAAGTGGCAACATTGCTTTTTCGAGTATACAGTTGCTAGCTGCGTTTCAGTGATCGCCGATCGAGATTTCTTTTATCTTGCATTACATATTTGGATAAAGAAAAGTTAAGCAAATTCAACATCGATTTGATACTGATAGAAATCTGGATCAATTTGTGATCAACTCTGTTTGGTTTGTTTCCTAATTAAGTGAGGAAATTTTAATTGAATGCACCGACAAATAAATATATACACAAACAAATGTTCGGTTATGGTTAAAACAATTCAAGTTTTTGTATTGAATTTTTGGTTTAAAATTTATTTTTTCCTTTTCAGTAGGGTTTTTGCACATTATCTTCTGCGTGAGAATTGATCGTAATATATACGCATCTAAATAAGAGACTGGAACACGGCTGTTTGTCAAAAGCATACGATTTCGAACTCGCGTAAATGTACATTTGCTAAATGCTATAGCATGAACGCTCTTCGAAAACATATGTTCGAAAGTGCTAAATGTTGCATTTTAAATGCAGCAAAAACGCTGCATTATGGGCTGTTTTTGCTTACGCGTAAATGTACATTTAGCGCATTTAGCTCTAAATGCTACTCTAAATGTACATTTATCCATACAAAATTCGTCATCTAAATGCAACTCAATCTTTGCATTTAGAATTTAAATGCTAAAAGCATCCCTGTGATCTTCCAAAATTTCCACGATTCGAACATGGTTTAATGAGAAAAAGTGGCAACATTGCTTTTTCGAGTATACAACCGCTAGCTGCGTTTCAGTGATCGCCGATCGAGATTTCATTTATTATTTTACATTATTTGGATCATGGTACAATAAAAACAGGTAGAAGCCAAATTGACATCAAACCTACAAAAGTCAAAGTTTTCGGGAGAGTAAAAATAAAAATGAGCGTGTGTAGGGAAAAATAAAAAATTACATTTCGCTGGTTGACGTTTTTGAGTAAATTTGAAGTTTTGTTTCTATTTATTTATTTTTCTTTAGTTAAAATTTGTTAATTTGTATGTTGTTTTATGTTCTTAATTTATGAGTTGCAGTGTTGTTGGAGGGACTTTCCGGCATAAGGGTCATAGGAACAGCACTTGGCATCAAACGTGCCTTTTAAAATGTTTAACGCACAGCAAGGCATTTCGCTGCAGCTCTGGCCCACAGCTGCTTTCGCAACGCTCTTTACGCGAAGGACATTGAGGCACGTTAAATGGTATCTGCTTCACATTTAACACCACATAAAAAACAACGCTTCGGTGTTGCATTTTTAACACATACATTAAGTATAAACTGCACAACACTACAAAAATTCAAATGTTAATTAAAATTTGTTATTAACGAACATTCAAAAAAAAACAAAAACAACGATATGACATTCAAAGCGTAACGAAATATAGGAACTAAAAGAAAAACAAGTTGAAGTTTAAAGGTTTGGTTCTCATGAGAGCAACGTCATTTTGGCTTCTACCTGTATTTATGTGCCTTGATTTGGATAAAGAAAAGTTAAGAAAATTCAATATCGATGTGATGCTGATAGAAATCTGGATCAATTTGTGATCAATTCTGTTTGTTTTGTTTCCTAATTAAGTGAGGAAATTTTAATTGACAGCACCGACAAATGAATATAAACATAAACAACTGGTCGGTCATGGTTAAAACGATTAAAATTTTTGTATTGAAGTTTTGGTTTAAAATTTATTTTTTCCTTTTCAGTAGGGTTTTTGCACATTATCTTCTGCGCGAGAATTGATCGTAATAGATACGGATCTGAATAAGCGACTGGAACACGACTGTTTGTCAAAAGCATACGATTTCGAACTCGCGTAAATGTACATTTGCTAAATGCGATAGCACGAACGCTCTTCGAAAACATATGTTCGAAAGTGCTAAATGTTGCATTTTAAATGCAGCAAAAACGCTGCATTAGAACCATCGGTGACAATAGAAACTGGCACATCTTTTTTTGGAAATGACAATAACGTTGCGTTCGACAAAGCAAACTTTACAGCCTTGAATGCTATTTTACACTCTTCAGACCATGTAAACTCTCTAATATTCGAATTTACTTTTTGCATATTGGTGAGATGTGAATATAGGGGAGCTAAAATATTCGAAATGAATCGATGATACAAATTAATCATGCCTAAAAATCTTTG